TATATATATATATATATATATATATATATATATATATATATATATATACTTGTACTACGATATTAGATCCAGTTGTTTCGATGAGCATTAGATGGAAGTTTATTTTTAATGAGGTTTTTTGTTTGTCGAGTGAAGTGTCATGTTGGTTAATTATGGAGCTGTTTATTTTAAGCTTCATGAATTACTTACTATTAACAATGGTAAATGACAACAAGATAGTTGTATGTTTATGACATTCGAATTGATCAATGCATCATTGCATGAGTGATAAATCTCAAGTTCAAGTTCACGTCCGATCATTATGTATGTCATTTGAGATGTAACAAAAATTACTTCTAATTTTTTTTGAAGGAAATAAACGAGATTGATGTTGTCTATCTTTTTCTTCATCGAGAAAACTAGAAAAGGTTCAATCTTTTCCTAACGAACAAGCATCAACTTGACCCAAAAAAAAGCACCTGAAGCAGATCCTAATTCTCTTTCTTTTAATGAATGACTAGAGAAATGTACATTTAATTGAAGATGCCCCGTTCCTGAAAGCCATGCAGAATAAGAAAGTGGCATTCTTATTCGGCCTCCTGTGTTCATTGAGGTGAAGAATTCGATAGGTCGGATAAGCTTTGAAGGCTAGCGGTTGTGTGTATGATGTTCACTTGGATATTGTCATCTCCTCACAGTATTTAGTATCCTACACTAGAAAGAAATTTACAAGACTACAATACGTATATCATACGTAGAAAGCAGATAATAAATACGTATTTATATAAGGATTACTCCTTTTATAGCTACTCTATTATAAACAGGGAAGAAGAAGGCAAAGTGATCATAAGCTCCATCCAACTAACAATCGATCCTCTTTCGATGCTTGTCCGGTCCAAGTTATATGGACCTTACGATTTGGATGGGCTCTAATCGACGTCGAAAGCCTCACCTTTGTGCCCTAAGCCCAGTCTTTCCTCTCCTCGTCTAATCTTCTTCCTCGGTTGCCGCCCTGCCCTCTCCGTGCGAACGGCTCACGATCCGTCGACCGCAGCGCCGGGCCGGCGAACAGGTGCATCGTCTCCCCATACCATTGTCGTCTTTTTTTTTTTCTTCTTCGTCCGTGGATTTGAAATATGATTCTTTCGTTTTTTTCTCCTTCCTCTTCATATAATCTGTTGGCTCTAAGTCTCAGTCGCAACTCTATTCGGGTAGAAATATCTCGACCTTGGAAACCCTCGAGGTTACACCTGTTGATTCTTTGAAGGCCACGGGAACCTAATTCTGAAGGGCTAATGTTGAAATGACTGATCATGACGATCTGTTTGTCCTTTGATGGGATTAGTTATTTTTTTTCCCCTTCTCTGCGTAGGATTTGTTGCGTGGCTTGTGGGCTTTTCCTCTGTGGAGTAGGACTTAGCAGGCATTTGAATTTTACTATGTCATTATTATCAGTTCTCTAATTAGTTTGAGTCAAGATTTTGTTTGTTTATCGACAGTCTAAAACTCCTCCGGTCTTCTGTCCTAACAAACGTATATGATATAGCAATATCTGAAATTTTCATGGTGGAAATATTGTGATAAGAGTTGCACAGAGCTCAGTGATATGAACAACTTGGGTGAGCATGTAAAGTTCTAATTGAGCGAGTTTATTATGAGATTTTCCTAAGCCCTAACTAGTCTTGTCTTGCTCAAACCATGATTTATGTCTTCCTACTTTATTTTTTGGGTTGCCAGATAAGTGTTTGGGAGATCCATAGTTTTGAAGTTGGAAGAGAGGAGGAGGATGACCGTACAGCAGCCTCAGCAGCAGCAGCAAGTGGCCAACAACTTCACCTCACAGTTTGCAGTCATGTCCAAGGCCCAACTCTATGATCCTCTCTCAAATGAAAGTATGCTCTTGTCTCCGCAATGAAATAAAATTTCTTCCCTTCTTTCGTATATCCACAACGAAAGTGATTATCATCAATGCTCTTTTTTCTTTCTTTTTGTTTCACTAGGATCTTTTCCTTCACATAATTTAGGAGTGCTGCTTGTGGTATTTTTAATAACATGGATTTGGATGATGGGATTGCTTTGCGTTCTGTGTCTTCATGGATATGGAGAATTGAGATACACAGTCATGTGATTTCAGATTTTACTATGTAACCTTTTTTTATTAAATAAGTTTCTTTTATTTGGTGCCCTCATTTTATCTTTCATGTCTCATGTTTTTTTTTACTCATTGATAGTGCAGCTGATCCAAGTCCTTAGGACCTTCTTACATTTTAGACTTTAAACAGAATAGGAAATTTTTTTATGAAGTTTTGAAACTTCAGCAGTAGTCTAACAATGAAATTATGCTTCAGGGTTTTTCCAGGGAAGTCGTGTGATATGATCTTTAACCAAATATTTGCTGAATTTGGTTGGGCTATTTTGTGCTTTGTACTTCATTATAAATGCGTAACAGTATTCTTTCTCAGCTCTTTGTTGTCAAAAGTCTTGGTGTACATTTAGAAGCAGACAAATTTTACGCGCACACAGATTTATGAATGTGTCACAGTATTCTTAGTCAGCTCATTGTGGGCAAAAGGCTTGATGTGTATTTGGAAGAGGACAAAAATCTTATACACACATGCCTGCACGCACACACGCACATTAACTTTTAGATCAACTGTTCCCTGGAGTAGTCCAGGGATTCTTAAGAAGGTCCCACCAAATGTGTGAAACCATTTTTGGTGTCTGCTGCAAGTCATGTGTTTTGAAATAAAAATATAACAAAAATAAAAAAAATCCTTTTTAGGAGCATTATATACTTGGTTGAGGTGAGAGGAAGCTAGACGAGACTTGACAGATGGGTTTAAAATAACCTATTATAAGCACAGGCAATGAGATTATGTACGTTTAGCAATTTGATAGGTGGATACAACGTGTTGGACTTTATTAATGAAAGCTCATGGTTGATACATAGCTTATGATTGGGTAAAAATGGAAAGGTTCTTCACACTTAAGGTTTAAGAGACATGAACAAAACTATTCAAGTAGTGTGAAATTTGTGCAGTTTGTATTATAGAATGTTGGTCTAAGAGTGCTTAATTAGAAAAAATAGGATGTGAGATACATTATGTGAGATCAGAACAAGGATTCTGACATAAGATGTCCAGAATATCTGGTACCTAAGTGCACAAAAGCATTCCTGTAAAATGATGCAAGTTGACTCTTGAACCTGGATCCAGTACTGTAATGATAGCCCACTGTTCCACTAGGATATGCTCTCTTGCTAGACTGGATATCATGAATATTCTTGTTTTTTTGCTTTGGATATGTATAAGAGAGAGATGCAGTTTGCTACTTGTATGGGTCATCTTTGATTAAAGTTACAAGTTTTGTGTTTTATTTGGCATTTTTCAGAGTCTAATTTCTTGAGTCCTTTTTTTCTCCTTGTTTTAAAAATTATATGCATAAGCATTATGTATGAAAGTTTGAAGAATTTATTATTAAAATTGTGCTTTGTTTCAGCACAAATAATGCTTGGAATGGTACAATCTCCTAAAGTGTTAATCTTTTATGTATTGATTTAGACAGTACCTTGTAAATCAATAGATTCAGCTGTGAATAACTAATGCTTTCTTGTTTTATAGATGTCCAACACTCAACAAGCTTGCCGACAACCACAACCAGCACAAGTCGGACAGCCACAGATTGTTCACAGTTTGCAGACAGTGCCTGCTAAAGTTGGAGAACAATCTGAACCTGGTTGATCTCAATCACTGCTATCAGCTAGACAACAGCATCCAACACAACCATCCATTTCTGTTCCACCTGCATCTGTTCCACGGTTGACCTTCCAATCGAAGGCAATGCCATTGCCACTTTCAGAACCACAAACTAAGGGCTTTCTGAATCTCCAAGTTCCTTCAGTAACACCTATACAATCGTCCCAGATTCAAAATATATCTCAACCCAACCTTGCTGCTCCACATTACTCAAATCTTCCATCCCATATGCCGATGATCTCTGTACATCCACAGCAAACTTTGCAGAATCCTGGACTGTTCAATCAACTCCTGCAGCCGCCGTTACCACTGCAGCCTAGACAGGTTGCAATGCAACCTTTCGCTCTTCAGTTTCATCCACAGATGCCTCACTCGCTTGGTCTTCAACCATCCAGTGCACCTCAACAGCTTTTATCACAACCCTTGTTTCACGTAAGTTGGTAACTGGAACCTTCATGACTTTTCCAGGAATTGTTTTCATTTTTATGTGCAGAAGAGATTGCTAGCAAAAGATGACAGACCACTCTGAATTGGTCAGTCAGGTATCACACCTCCATCCTCCTTCCCACAAGGTCAGGCACCACTTCCAAGTCAGCCACCACAGCATCTTTATCAGGTGCATATATTCTCCTGCTTCGTGAACAAAATGCCTGGTAATTTTGTATGGTGTAGAATTTTTAGCAATGAAAATAACATGAGCAAACAAGCTATGAGTGGTGAACACGAGAATGTTGAGTTATATTGGACATATTAGATTGGTTGAGCAGTAAACATGTATCTCTTGACAAAGTTATGAACATGGTACTACATCACGGAATACAGTTCAACAATAATCGATATCAATTGATAAAAAAAAAAATTAAGCACTCCACCAACCTTCAACTAAATTTCGATTCATTCCAAATATGAAGTATTAACCCGTGACACTTATGTATCTTTTATATTTATTTATTTTTCATATTTAACCAGTTTAGAACAGTTAATTTAGATTTCGAGTTCAATTTCCAGGGATTGAAATCGAACTGCATGGTCTGGTTCCCATTTTGCTGATGAATAATGAAGCCCTATTACGAAGCAATTTGGGTTCGATTCAGACCTTGTCATGGATTGGATGGGCCAAACTGCAAGCCGGGCCGGGCCTATTATGGACTAGTTTTTGGAAGCAATATGAATTACATATATTATATTTACATCCCTTGCAAAATTTGGCATTATAAATTTTAGTATAACATTATATCCCTCCAAACAGTAAACGACTCGACGTATACTGTTGTTAGTATTAGTTTATTTGAGCTAAATAAATATATACAATATAAACATTCTAAAATACTATATTGTTATAGTACATATGAGTTTGTAAAAGATATTAATATAATATTTATAATTTTAATAAATAATTAATTTACAATAATTAATATAAGTTATTGTTGTATAAAAATATTATAACAAGACTCGTTCATCAACTTATGGATAAGAAAAAAAAGAGGTATTTCCCAGAAAAATCTAAAAAATAAGTCTTTTTTTCGAAAATTTACTATATATATATATATATATATATATGAAATTGTGGATATGTCTAATAACAGTAACGTAAGCGCTGAAGTCATGCCGGTCCTTGTTGCCAACTTTGACCGTCGAAAGATCTAATGTACCCCGTCATCGGAGGAAATGGACACGCCGGACGTCTCTTGTAAGTCCATGGCCGTGGGTGATTCCGTGTCAGAAGACATGGCGTGGAGCCTCGTGTGGGGTGTGGGCGGGCTGCTGCTTCTGGTGTGGGCGCTGAGGACGCTGAATTGGGCGTGGTGGACGCCGAGGCGGCTGGAGCGCGCGCTCCGGGCGCAGGGGCTCAACGGCACCCCCTACCGCTTCCCCAAAGGCGATCTCAAGGAGAACGTGCGGCTCGCCGAAGAGGCGCTCTCCACGCCCATGCCTCTCACCCACAACATCGTCCCTCACGTCCTCCCTTTTCTCCATCGCGCCATCGACGAGTACGGTAAGCCTCTCTTTTTCGACGTTGTTTTCGAGATATTTGATGCGTGCAATCAACTTGTTTGATGTATTGCCTATTAGAGAGGATCTTGACGAAGGACTCGTGAATCCATGCAGGCAAGATATGCTTCACTTGGTTTGGACCAGTACCCCGAGTGACGATTATGGATCCCGAGTTGGTGAGGGAGGTTCTTTCCAACAAGTTCGGCCACTTTGGTAAGCCCAAAGGAAACCTCCTCGGAAGGTTTCTCGTTAGAGGACTTGTTTCGTACGAAGGCGAAAAGTGGGTGAAACATAGGAGGATTATGAACCCTGCTTTCCATGTTGAGAAGTTGAAGGTGACTCGTTGCCCCTGTTGGAGATAATCTTGTTTGTAGCTTGGTTTGTGTGAAAATGTC